CTTGTGAAACCATCAACGTTTAACCATCGGTTCGTTGATCGTTTCTAATAATAATCAATGTTGGAACGTTAACTAATCGTCACTTAGCCACCCTCCAACATTAATATAGAGATAGATTAAGGGAAGAATTAATAATCAAAAGGAGAAAGTAAGAAAATAACTCACAACTTTAATAATCAACAAGCTTCAAGAGCAAAACCAAGAAATGGAAGTTTAGCTCCTCATTTGGAGACTAAACATGCTAAAAGAAATATAGAGAAATGCTATTCTAAACTGAGCTTAAGTATATGGAAGAAGGGATGATTTTTTGTGAAGAAAAAGTGTGCTATTTATAGGTGTTTTTCAACACCTTTGGCCGGGTACCCGACCGGGTATAGGTACATACCCGACCGGGTACCGGTCAAAATCAGATTATCTCCCACGATTTCTTGTTTTCTGCACGTTAACTTGTCCGGGTCAAATCAGACCCGACCGGGTCAAGTAAGGAACCCGACCGGGTTTGACCAAAATCAGATCTTTTCCAAATCTGCAGCATGTTCTGGTGCTCCGGGTCAAATCTGACCCGACCGGGTCGAGTAAGGGACCCGCCCGGGTCTGTGCTCCTGAGAATTTTTGTCTTCAGCTTTTCTTCCCTTTTGCTTGCTAAAAACTCTATCACTATTCTATAGCTAGAAATAGAAGGTAAAAACAATTACAACTAAAATAAAACAAATACTTACAAACTAACTAAAAGTGATGGAAAGTCTACACAAGATCGATATTAAAAACATACACTTATGCACTGTAAACTAGTGCATATCAAAGGACTACAATGACTTTGCGTGCAATTTTAAAATAAATTACACATCTAGCTAAACAATGTAATCTAGTTTACATACAAAATGATTGTTTTCCTATACTTTGCATGCAATCACTTCGCGTGTAAAGATTTTACGTGCAAACTACCAAATAAGTCCTAAAATTATTATTATGATTTAAGAGGTTATGTTTTTGTAATCTTTATTTTAAGGACCATTCTTGGTGTACGCAAGTTGTACACAAAATGTGTACATTGTCTGTGTACATAATAATTTGACATGAAGTACTGCTCATTTTTAAATGAATTGCTTGTGTGCACAGAAAACTAGAGAGTTTTGCGTACAATTTGTGTATAACTCATGTACACTCAGCATTTTCCTTGTATAAAGGGCACGGGGGGCTCGTGAGTTTGTTAGTTTGAGAGATTTTCAGCGATGCCCGTCTCTTCGCCATCACCGATTATGGCGGAGAAAGCTAACGCAACCACTACTTCTGCCACATCCGCCGCCGCGAGTTGCAATCTAGAGACCAGTAAAGCGGAGAGGCACGTCTGGTTGATGAAGTGCCCTCCCATCGTCTCTCGAGTCTTACAGCACCAACACTTCACCCCCCCTTCCATCTCCACCGACCCTAACTCTTCCTCCGCCCTTTCCTCTGATAGGCCCGTCGCCAAAGTCATCGTCGCCGTCGACCCTCTCCTTCCCAATGATGACTTCGCTTCCACTCAGGTGCCCGCCCTACGCGTTCGCATTCCCCTCCACTTACGTGCAATCCCATGCTCCTGATTCGCTTTCCCTGTTAAATGCTTACAATTAGGGATTGCCTCAATTTTATCGTTGCATGGATTTTAGTGTGTTAAATGGCGTCCTAATCATTAGTCATACAATGTGTATGGCTCTGCTATGCACCTCGTTATTTCCTGATTGCATTGTATCGGGGCTGATACATGATATTGTGGATGCCCTAGGCTGAAAGTAATTAAAAAAAATTACATTAAAAAAATCGAAAAAAATCAAGTTATGATACGCAAATTCCCCTGCATTGCATGATTTGCATCAATTCGAAGATAAACTGCCTCATTAGTCATTACCCCGGGAGGTGTTTATATGGCCGTTCAGGCGGTCCTTCGAGTGACATCAATAGCTCATGAAGATATGTAAAAGCTCTTTGGTTAGCCTGTCTTTTCCACTGTTCTCAAAATTTTCTCCATTTATGTTTCCAGTTGGAGTGCATTGGAATACTATTTGTAAACCACTCTTTTTTGCTTTAAAAGTGCTAGTTTTATCCCCCCACCCCCACAGCACCCCCACATAGTATAATTGTTTGTGTGATGATAACCAGTTCACAATGGAATTGGCTGGTAGCGAGCCTGGAAACATACCCAAATGCTATTCTATGGGAATGTCAACAGAATTTATCCCAATGTCCATATTTTCTGAATCAGGACAGGGTATGTCTCTTGTTTCTGAAGCTTACTCTTTTTCACATTCCTTCTCATATGATGTTCAAAATGTCATAGGTCCAAACAGAGAATGCATCTAAAACATGTGGTTTGCTTGTGAAATGGAGGAAAATGAGTTTATTACCTCCTCTGTGTAGGAAGGCTTTCTGTGGAAGGGAAAATATATCACAAGTTTGATATGAAGCCCCACAATGAAAATATTGAAAGCTATGGCAAACTATGCCGTGAAAGGACAAACAAGTATATGAAAAAAGATAGACAGATACAGGTAAAATCTTGTTTTGTTTCTATCTTCGAGTGGGATGGTGCTTCTTGATCGGGTATAATTCCGGAGTAAATTTTGCCCTTTTCTTTCATCAATTAATTAAATAAAAGATAACTGATCCATTTTATTTTCTGAATTACACGTCCGTTATTTTGTAGGTCATTGACAATGATAATGGAAAGCATATGAGGCCTATGCCATGGGTTTTCTCTTCAAAGCCTTCAGGGTCTACTGCAGTAATTCCTATTTTCTTCTTATCTCACTTAGTTGGATCTTTAACTTAATTTTATGAGAAATGTGTATTCAACTCATCCATATATAGATGCGTCTCCATTAGTGTATTGTTGACACTTCGTATAATTTTCTATGTGAGAGAGGGGATGTTTGCATTCTAGATTATTTTGCAAGTAAACTAGTCATGGATGATGTTTATTTATTAGGAAAAGAGGAAAGGTTCTGCAAAAGGATCAGAACTGAAGAGAACCAGAAGAGATCGCGATGAAATGGAAGAAATTATGTTTAAACTGTTTGAGAGGCAACCAAACTGGACATTAAAACAGCTTATTCAAGAGACCGACCAACCAGAGGTTTGTCATCCTAGTCAATCCCTTCGGTTCATGTTTACAGTTTGGCAGGTCCTGAGGATCTTTCTCTCAATAATTATGATTCTTTGTGAATTTGTCGCAGCAATTTGTGAAAGACATGCTGAAACTGCTGTGTGTGTACAACAATAAAGGGACAAACCAAGGGAGTTACGAGCTCAAGCCGGAGTATAAAAAATCAGAAACTTCACTAGATTGAATTCAACTTGCATTCTTATTTTCACTATTTTATTCAAGCTCAATTTGGATTTGCTTCTGTAAATAAACTAACTCGTCAGTGATTTAGACCGGAACATGTTACACTTTTGGTTTAGTAATGTAACATGCCCAATACTTTCTCTTTTGGGTTCGTCTCCAAGCAAAGATTTGGAACGGAACTCATCTATTTCCATCCGTGTGTGATCAAAGATCAATTTATATCTTCTTGGCGTCCGATCGGTTTTGGAGAGGTCTCAGGGATAGCGTGTCATTCTTTTTTTTATTATAATAAACTAATCTTAGAGATTGGGTGTCATTTTTTTTATATAACTGAATTAATCTTAATACTAAAAGCAGTGTTTCTCTTATTTCTTCATGAACACTAAATTTAAACTATTGTTAAATTAAGACATTATACACACGCATACATAACACATGCATCAATAGAGACCTATGGCAAATGAGAATGACAACTCCCCACAGCCCCACTAAATATCAGCATGATTAGATTTAGAACCTTATGGCTCTAAAACGCCAATATGGAAGATTGATGGAAAATGTATATCTTTTTTGGAACTGTGAAAAACGTCGAAAATTTCTTGAAAAGTAACTATTACAATTGCAAAAGTACTCTTGAGTCGAGCCATGGACCATGGTAGTGGTATATTACAGAGGGTGCCTTTAAAAAGGATGTTTTGATATCCCCAATAATATTGTAGACACGTTGAGACATACTTAATGGCAGATTTTGGAGCACGCATAGAACATACGTGTGATGTTTTGTGTGTGAAATGTTGCCTCATAATGAAGTATTGATAATTTGGATGGTGACACCATTAATGAAACGTCACCTCCATCGGACTCGCCGTCTACTAAATTGAATAAGTTCTAATGTTGAATTCCCAACCCCAAGAGCCCCCACACCTCAATGCAACAAGACTTTTGGGAGGTTGCAAGTAATGTGACTCAGTTGATTCAATGGTGATAGACTTTGTACCCATGTGCATCAGAGGTCCATCCCAGCATGCAGGAATTGTAACTTCCACACAGCCGCTGCGAGTTTCGATCATTGATCATTCTCTCAACTTTCCACACTCAACCAATTGAGCTACCCGTGCAGGTAAATTGAACAAGTTCAGAGGCAGTATAGAACATGTGTCTTCGTATGTTCAGTTCATTTTAATATTATCTGATTCGTTAAACATTAATACATTGTGTTTCCAGGGAAGAATAGGTCAATAAGTCATTGATAGTTGACTACTTGACATAAACAATTAGAAACTTATCAAATAAAAAATCTGATATTTTACGTTTAGACAGACAATCTAATCATTTGTGCTCTAGAGTCCAAGTTAATGTCCTTTGTCCTTGATCCGTTGCTAATCCAGAATCCAGATCCTCAATTCGACAAAATTCAAAAAAAAAAAAAAAAAAGGAATGCAATTTAATACACAAGATTTAAGGTTTAATTAGTAAAGTCTTCATTTAGTGATATACCGTTTATTGTCATGGCACAGAAATGAATTCTAAAACAAAACAAAGCGATCGCTCCCATTTTTACTTATAGTGCAGGACCGCAGGTATGCGCCATTCGTATATGTGTACTCACACTCCAACCTTACAATACAGGGCAATGCATGATACACCAGTCCTCTAAGAGAAACACAGCTGCAACTTGAAAGAACACATATTATTGCTGTATCCCATCATATCATTATCATCAACAAATACAACAAAGATACAAAAGATGCTGGCATTATATATTTAAAAATTAAATAAAACCAAAAGAAAAAAAAATGACCAAACCAACCTAGGGATCCTGTTAAAAAACCTCTAAAAAGACTGCACTATCATTTTATCTGCTCAATCAAATTACAAAAAGCTATATAGTACATCGCAGCAAGCAAAAGAGGTGAAATTTTGCCACTGCGGAGGGGGACAAAGCCCGCCCCAACTACTGCTACAACCTGCTGCCTAATTCACCCGTCTTACCTCTCCATGCATCCTCTTCCCCAAACTGATCGGCCTTGGCATAGTGCATCTTGATAGCAGCAGCAGCCACAACTGGATCTGAAAGGCCACCACTGCATTGCCCAACAAGAATGCCCCCTCCTCGCGCCACAACATTAATTCCAAGTTTGCCCCTTCCTTGCGGCATGCCTGAGACAACATCATAAGCCTGCACTTCTCTGTTTCTAAACCCCAAATCTGCAGCCACCCCATTCCCGTTGACTAGTATTTCTCTGGGGAAAACAGGCACAACACCATTCAAGCCCCGTTCGCTATTTGTCACCACTCCGTCCCCTTTTGTAGTTACTGATGATGATGTCATTGCGAAATTTCCAAAAGCAGCAGGGTACTTTGCCAATAGGATGGCAGACTCAGGAGGTAGAGTAGAGAACCCCCCATTTTGTATCATGTTCCCATCTCCCCAATAGCTGTAACTCCTCAATGGGAGATGATTCTCAGATGAGCTGCGAAAAGTTCCAGGAGAAGTGGAAGAAGAAACACCATCTGCTGCACAAATGGATGACTTAATGTCATTGTCTTTAAGAGAAGTGCTCTGTTCCTCCTTCCGTTGTGTGCTGCTGTTACAACTACTACTTGAATTCTGTTGAGAGGAAGAAGAGGGTTTGCTAAGAATTTGACCAAACAGCTTAAAATCACCACTTGTGCTGGATTTTTCCATTCCCAAAGAGCTACCATGCTTTGAGCTGCCGCTGCTGCTGCTGCATTTTAGAAGGATGCAATCAGCAGAGGTTGAGACCCTACCTGACCTCCAACAAATATCCGAGGCTCCATTCTCTTTTATGGTTGTTGATGACCCTGGAAGCTGCTGCTGCTGCCCAGCAACTACTTGTGGTTTTTGAATCTTTATATCACCAACATGTTCTGATGGACTGAGATTTGCCAGCATACCATCAACACCAGAACAACCCTCAGAAGCAATGGTGACAGTAGAATCGTCAGACATTTTTGATAGAGTAGGAACTGAACTGTTGTTTGCCAGCATAGAGCTGCTGACATCAGACTTCAGCCTGGCATCTGATTCATTAGAGTTGGCAGCAGCCTTCGTAAGACACTCATACACTCTGGAACCAGATTCAGTGATGGTGCAAGTATCATCACACATGGCTACCGGGACGTTAATGTTTTCGCTCAAACTGCAGTCGAGCAGTGGGCCCCTTAAATCTTCAGTTGAATTCTGGACAAGAACATCGACAACACCAACATCAGGAGGGATTTTCACAGGAGGGCAATCATGAACAGTATCAGCTTTCTCACCTTCTTGGCAAGAGGATATCATGCTTCCATCGCACTGCACATCTTTGTTAATCCTGTTCTCAACATCCCTGTCAGATTCCAACTCCTTGTCCACATCATATGCATAAGATATGTGCTCTATATCTGCAGAATCCAGGTCCACTACACCATCATTAGAGCAGTTAAGGTCAGGCTTAGCATCTCGTCTTCCATCTGCCAAATCCAGGTCTCTCCGCCTTGTCAATATTGGGGACTGTACATGGATATCTGATTTCTTCTCAATACATATGGAGGAGTCCATTTCTAGCAAACAAGCAGCACCTTCAGCATCATCACTTCTGTCGCCCTCATGACCATCCTCTCCAGCAGTAATTCCAGGTTCAGGATTAATGAGTGCATCAAGTCCAAGACACTTCCTGGCCTTACTGAAGAAGACCTTACACTGGTCTCTTGATCTTGTTTTCACAAATCTGGAAATCATGGTAAAATCCTTCCCGTATGATGAGACAGCCTGAATGAAGGAGAGTTTCTCCTCATCGGTCCAATCAGCGGGGTCCATCATCTCCCCACAACTTTCATCAGAATATGTTTCTTCATCAACGTTCTGTTGCATAACCTCAAGAGTCACAGGTGGCCTCACGGTTGAAGAGCTCACTTTGTGGTGTTTCCACTCGTGGTCAATAGAACTTGTAATACATGAACATGTAACTTCGGATGAAAAGGAACCACATATTCCAGCCAGAACGTCAACAGCCACCGCCTCTCTGTCATTGTTACACACATCAACACTGTTTGATGGTTTGTTTTCACTTTCTCCGAGAAGGTATTTGGAGGAGCACATCTGAAATCCGACATCTTCATCGCCCTTGGCTGCCATAGCTGAAGCTTCACCTAATATGTCAAGGGAGGGGGCTGCATTGGATTCACGGTTCCATCTTTTACCAGACGCAACAAGGTAGTTAGATTTCCCTTGTTTTGCATAACCTGGCTTGCTCTTGGTTTTCAGGAAATCTCCAGACTTGTGATTCTTATAGTAGAACTCAATGCACTCAGCTGTTGTTTTGTGTTCAAGAAATGATGCAATTTTTCCAAAGTCTTTCCCAAATGTGGCAAGCTTGTCTATAAAAATCTCTCTCTCCTCTGATGTCCAGGGATTAATCAATGACCTCTCTTTTTCAGAAGAGCAAGGATCTTCCACTAATGCATTGTTTGTAATGAATCTTGATAGCAACTTCTCCTTCTTATCTAAAATCATAACTGGCATTCGTTCTGTGCACCTATATGGTGTCACTGTGCTGGAATTTGAGAGCAATCTGCTCGTGAAGCTTAACAAATCCGGTGAGGGAACCAGGTTTAAATTTCCAACTGCAAGATAATAAACATAAAAGCATGAGTAATAAGAAAAGAAAACATATACTGGGATACAGAAAGTTGTAAAAGAACAGCCCAAATATAATTTTCTTCTAAATATGTAGCAGTAATCATGAAAGAAAACTAGCTCAAAAGCATGGGGTTTAGCCAAAGTAGCAGCATGTGTATTTGATATTCATATTGAATGTAAACCATTTATATTCAATAACGTAAACAACAATAACATCTTTAAAAGTTATTTTGATTGCCAGAAGATAAGAGGAAGGCAGGAGAACCCGAGATGAAACCGTCGCCACATTTCCTCCACTTCCTCCATTATATATGATGCTCATTCCTCATCTATGAGAGAGTTGAGACTCAGAAAACCCAGTTTGGCAACAGGCAAAGGCTGTAATCACTAGTTGTATGTGACAGTGCAGATAGAAGCCATTGACAGAAGCTGCCATTACTAGATGAAAGTATGAGACTGAGACTTGTTGCACAGAGACCAAACAGTGGATGTGAAGGCTGAAGACAAAGCACCTCAGTAGTTCAAGAACAAAAAGAGAAAAGAAAAGAAAATAAATAATATAAGCCCAGAATGGGAACATATATTTGCTTGAAAATGGCCAAAAGTGATAAATTAGGTTTGCTGATGCAATTTCAAATTGATGATCAAACATCCAGATCAAAGAAGCAAACAAATGCCCTCATTAATTTCCATCAAGAAGGAACTGCTGATGTTGAATTACTAAAGCATGTAATGGTTTAATGTGTACATCACACCATTAAACAGGACAAAGTATAGTTTAGCTTGGTTATGCCTAAAGATCTAATGCAACTACAAGGGCCAAAGCAAATATCTCATTAAGATGAAAAAGTTCACAGTGCATTCAGCCAATGATTAATGTTAGTAAAAGACGCTACCAGTCAAAGTATAACAAATAAACACTTCGCAAAATGTAGCTCAGAATAGAAATAAGAAATTGAATGCAGGTGACTTTTCTCATGTGTTTGTCTCAAGAGTACAGGTGACTTTAGAGTACACAGTAATTTGTCTCAAGAAAGCAAAAAATGTGATTCTATGTTACTCTCAGATTAGAGGATTACTATCAAAAGAATAAATAGTGCAAAGGATCAAATTACAATTGAAATTATTTGAAACCCATTAAATATGTTGCACGCGCACTCACAGAGGGAGAGAGGATATACAATTTATTAAGAGACACAAATTACCTTCTCCTTGGTTTTTCTAACTCAGATTCTCAGGGATTGGAAAGGCCAAAAAAACTTTTTGATTTAAAAAGCAGAAAGAGAACATGCACGGCCCTATAATCTCCAAGAGTATAAACAGTCCACAGCTCTCTGCCGCCCCTTTGGCCTCTGGGTTCTCTTCGGTGAGCCTGCACTTTTACTATCTCCTATGCCCCCTATCCCACTCCACCCAATCTCCTATCTCATATAGTTACTTCACTACTTCTAGGGTATTTTGGACTTAGGTATTAGTGGATGGATTCAATTTAATGCTTTCTACAACAATATATTTATTTACTTGCAAAACATTGAACATTTTCTTCATGTTCTGGGTATGAATTTTGTTATCCATATTACTTATTATTTTATTGATTAATTATAATTCATTTACACATCACATGAAATGTTTGAAAGTACAGTGACAGTGATATATGAAAGGACCACATCCCAATTCCCAACTGCCCTAATATCTAATTCCATTGAAGAACAAATACATCATCTAAAAGAGCGCACAGCTTTGTCAAACTGAACAGGTGAAGTGGTGAGGAATTAAATTAAAACACACCGTCTTAATAAAATACTGAAGTGAGTTTGTATCATAAACAAATACTCAACTAGACAATTAATACTCCACTTTAAACAAATTATTGTTGAAAAATATTTAATAAGAAACTTGCTTACCAGCAGAAGGCCGTGAGCGAGAAGAAAAGCGATGCTTTTGATGGCCTGTCTGCACATAACGCATGCTCAGATCAAACTTTTTCTGAGATTTTGAACGAAATTTTCTTAAAGACTGCATGTTGAATTCTTCCTTCCATAGATGATGAAAGATCCTAAACTTAAGTGCAAGAACTTTCTCCTTAAATTGTTGTTGCCTCTTCCTCTCAACAATTTTTTCTTTAATTGAAGGATCAACTGCCAACAAAGAACTGGAAGCTTTTGAAATGTCATAAGTACAGTCCTTTGCTGGCAATATACCTCTAAAAACTTCAGCAACTCTATTTGCAGACTCCCGATTAGCAGCATATATTGAATCACACAAGGCATCATTACAATCTAGATTAGCATCAGAAAAACATTGCTGGTCAGCAGTGATCATATGAGAAGCATCTTTACAAGCAGATGCATTGTTTGCAATTTCCGCTTCAAAACTAGCCCCTTTATTTTTCATGTCTATACCTCTGCAATCTGTAGACTTCAAAAAAGCTTCATCATGTTTGGGCTCTGAAACTGATCCATCCTTTTCAGTTCTAGGAACTCCAAAATGCTTTGATGTTGCACTACCAGGACTATCAATATCCACTGTTTTAGCTTTGACAGCTCCAGCTGTATTATTTATTATGTACACATTTGTGTCTTCAAAGGAACCGATTTCCAAAGAAATATGTTGATGTGGTCCACTGCAAGTAGCACCTTGATCTCCAAAAGGCCACTTGTTTTCCATTCCAGAAGTCATAGATTTGAGTTCATTTTCAAGCATATCAATTTCAAATTCAGTTTTCTCCAAAACTTTTGACACATCATTTTTCCAAGATAGCAACTTTTTCAGTGCAGTTGATCTTTTAAAACCATTATCAGCCAGAATTGGATCATCTGACTGTAACAGTTCATCAATTTTAGCGTTCAACTTGGAGATTGTAGTGACATCTGAATTCTCCATGTTAAACATGACCTCAGAACGACTAGGAGGGGCAGAACTGGGTGATCCGATTATACCAGCCAAGTTGTGATCAGCATTTGTTTCTTTCAAAAATGATTTCTCCTCAATCCCTGCAACAATAGAAACATAGCAAAGAATTTGCATAAGTACTTGACTAATAACAAGGATACTCATATAAGACGAGCATGACAAATTTAGATTCAAACAAAACATAGAGATTTGGGGGACAGCTGGGTAAAAAGGGTAACCCGGTGCACATAGGCGTCGCAGCAAGGCGGGGGTCCAGGCAAGGGTCCCACCACATGGGTGTTAAGAGTGCAAGCTTTCACTTGGGGGAAACTGGGTAAATATTCAGAACCGCCAACCCACACTCGGAAGTATCAATTTTATACTAGACCAAGAGTGAACCAATCAGGCTAATTGACAAAGCACTTCAAACCAACTAACTAAGCTAGCCACTTATCTCACATAACTTGACAAGATTAACATTTCGACCCAAAAGAGCATTTAAGTTTAATTTTAGTTAACTGAACTAATATGGTGTTCATATAAAGTATAAACCAGTTAAAAACAAAGTGCTGGATATTTTACATGTGTCATCATAGATTTTGTAAATAAAGTTTAAAAGGCAACAATTATTGAAGCACAAGCCAAGTTCAAATACCAATCGAGGTTTAATTAAGTCAACCCCACCCAACAAGATGAATAAAACCAAAACTCAAACAGAACTCTAGCCTAGATAGTAAAAATGAAACGAGACTCAAACCGCTTACCAAGCTACACTTGACCATCCAAACCAGTGGTTTATAACTCCAACCGGTGGTCAACTGAGTCATAAGACAGGGCCAATAGTCAAGCCGATGGATTATTAGTTGATGTGCATGCCACATTCTATGAAGAATATGATGACTAAAAGAAAGTACATATTCTTAATATAATTTCTCATTAGAATAATGAATATTGTATATTTTACTGCACCTTTCCCCTAAAAACCAACTTTGATTTTAGTCAGTGCTCAATCACCTTGACCATTAAATTTTCATAAACTAACTCCTTATGAATTTACAACACGAACATATTCTAGCCTTCTAGGCGACTTTGACCATTAAATTTTCATAAGTTGTACTACGTATCATGTATTAATTAATAACAAGAACATATTCTTGAACAATTAGTATAAAAATATATCATTAAAATAATGTCCGCCTCTGCCCCAAAATATTATTCTCACTTTGACTAGGCAGGCTTATTAAGAAAGTTATTCTGTCATTAATTAACAAATAGAAGTAGATTTGACCCTAAACTGAATTTCAAATTAAATAAAATACTCCCTCCGTCCCATAAAATTGTTCCCGCATTGACTTGGATCGGAGTTTAAGAAAGTGGGAATAAAGTAGAAATGTATGGTTGTGTAAGAAAAAGGTAAATGAATGTGAGCCACACAAAACTTTCCAAAAGGGGAAATGGGAACTATTTTTTGGGACGGCCCAAAAAGGAAACCGGGAACTATTTTGCGGGACGGAGGGAGTACTTAATAAAACAAGGAAAGAAAAAAATATTAAAATTAGGAAACAGCATTTCTAATCATATCGGCAGGAAAGACCTGTGTGCATCTCACCCTAATCAGACCATACTTCCAAATGGGATAAGGAGATAGAGAATAGTTCTAGCTAATGAATAGAAATTATTATTATATATACCACAAAATGGGATACAGGAGCATACTAACTATCGTGAAGGTGATACTGCGAATTCTAAAATTCTCAATAAATAGCTTATTCCTTTTCCATCCACGCTTGAATGTACCTTTACACATCCTAACAAGTTCATCAACGTTATCCTCTTATGAGCAACAAAATATCATTAATGGCCCTCGGGCTTTTAAGTCAAAAACATCTTTTACAGCCTCGTTTGGAAAACTTAATATGTTTGTGTTCAAATTCTTCCTTTTCTCATTTTAGGGTTGTGGGCGCTTTTAATTATTAAATATGAAGCACTATGTAATTAAATATACTTCATGATGAGCTAACATGCTTTTTCTTTAAATGATGCATGTATAATTACCTGGTGAGGAACTACATGCAACTGATGATGGAGTAGTTGGTGATGCACAGTCAGATGAAGCTGCGATTTGGGGATTCTTATCCGCAAGAACTGCAGGACTAAAATGGTTAGCTTCCAAATTGCTACCGGAATTAAAAGTACCAATCTTGGCAGGACTGTCTTCAGGGCCTTCAACCTTCTTCTTCTCATATTTTGCAAGGCCTTCCCCCCAACCAAGGCGTGGTTTCTTGCGAGAATTAGTCTCTTCCAAGGGAGCAGATGACGTCACACAGGCAGTTGCATCCCCAGAAGGAGACTGAATAGGTGTTAGATTTCGGGGATGTGTCTCAGTCTTTGCATCATGGGACTCCATTCCCATGCTCTTAGAACTGCATGAGTGACTGAAGGAACCCCGTGAAGACAGACTTCCTGAGCGTGTCCACTTTAGATGTTTCCATTCTTGAGAGTTCTCCCTTTCAAGCCTTTGCCCAGTGCTTCCCACTGTTCTTATATCATTAACATTATTCTTAATGTGCTGGTCCCTAGAGTGAGACTGATCACGTGCATTGGCATAGTCAGAATGAGCTTGAGAAGAATGGTAATTCATCATTCCATCCCCCAACCTCTGATCACTTGTCTCATTCATTCGTCCTGGTCCATTAGGAGAAGAGGTCTCCCAAGAATGGCATCTCCAATCCCTTTGACCAAATGACCCTCTATTTTCCCTTCCATTTCTGCTAGACTTTCCCTCACCTCGAGAACCGGAATAGCGACCACTGTCCTCTTCTGAAATCTTTTCACTGGACCTTGATGCCATGAAGCCATGAGTCGATTCCTCTGGATACATATGCCAGCCACCCTGCTTACCATGACCTAAAGCAGGAAATAACAAAACTGTCAAAATAAGCTAATATAGAACCCCCGAAGACATAAATTTTATGCATAAAATTGACAACCTGAGAATACATCATTATCTATGAAACCGCAAAAGTATTAGAAACTTAAACTGTTAGGAAATATTGAAGAACTCCAGCTGACCACAAAAGGAAACAAAGTAGATTTGTGTAGATCTAGAGTAATCTACCCAACAATAAGTAAAAATCAAAACAATATTTTGTGATATGCCCGTCAGATCTGAAAGAGAAACAGGTATTTACCTTTCTTAAAACACTACACATTCTTACTCAACCTAAAACCCAGATTTTCACTTGCCTAACTTGCGCGTACAGACTTCTGTGGATCTAGAACGAATGAAACCTAACTCACAACTAAAACAATTCTCATCATATGGCCAATGAACATCCACAACGTACCCACGCAGTTAAATGTTTCATGCAATTCTATTTTGAAACCGATAAAGAAAAAGGTTTTGAGAAAAGCCAGTATAGCCTTGGCTGTCCTCCGAATAAATAATATAACTGCTATTGGAAAACATCAATAAACCCGAAATATTAAGCGGAACCACACCCCACCCTTTCTTCACACGAGAAGGGTAAAGAAAAACTTACCAGAAGGATATCTACCGCGGAAATCTGATGCCCAGCGAGAAGAGCTATAGTGGTGGTGGTTCAACGGATGCTCCCTCCATCTGGACCCTCCAAAACCACTGGAGCCGCCCCCTCCACCTCCGGACAACTCCGAACGCTCGTGCTTCCTCTCCCTGAAGAAGTCCTTCCGATCCCAAGGAGACGGCTCTGGCGGCATCAATAACTTTCCACAATCCTAATTCTCCTGTCCTCCGGTCCAATCGCATCCCCCACTACCCAGAAGCCAAGCCGAGGCGCGCGAACAAAATCCACCAGTGGGAAGAACCAAAACCTACCCAACAAAACTAGGGTTAGGTTTTACTAGGTGGGAAAACCGGGTTAAATTGATCTTTCTCGCTCTAGAAGAACCCCCCTCTCTCTCTAAAGGAGACGAAGTGCCTGTGCTTCTGAGTTTCTGTGAGCCGATAAGAGAGAATGGGAACAAAAGAAAGAAATAAGGGGAAGGGAAAATCATAGAGAAGGAAGGGATTTGTTTTCTTTTCTTTTCATTTTATTTTCCTTCTCTTTTTTCTTTTTTTTTTATTTCTATGGCGAGGAGAGAGAAGGTGTATTGAACTATACGGATCTCAACAAAGTTATGAATCGTATTTCAGTGGAGTTTCGCGTCCGCGAGCTTTTTCACGGGTATTTCTAACGGATGGAGTAATTGTTTTTATTTCGTCAATTATTATCCTTTTGTACAAACTCAAATTTACATGGTCCTTTTGTACATTTACTACCCCCAACTTATATGGTCTCGTCTTTCTTTTTTATTTTTCCGGGATTATATTATACTCCTTCCCTCCCCTTTTAAATGGGACCGGAGATGGTGGCACGGGTTTTAAGAAAAGTGAATTTGTGTGGTTGATATTAATTGATAAAGTAAGAATAAAGTAAGAATGATTTTGAGCCACACAAAGTTTACCAAATAAGGTATGAGATAATTAAATAGGGACATCCCAATATGGTAAAATGGAATATTTAAAAGGGGACGGAGGGAGTACTCCTTACCAAAAATTGATAAAATTGGCGTGATTTAAAAAAAAAAACTTATTTTATTCTTATTTGATCATTCAATATCAATCGTATAACTTCGTCTTTTGATAATTGTATCATCTTCTCATGTTTAAATGTTTGGGGTGCTTTTAGTTGAAATGAATTTTGTTGGTCTGATCTAGTCTCTATACACTTTACCCATTCTTTTTAATTGCAATGATCCATTTTTCACACTTGTCAATGCACATGTGTGCCCATTAATATTTTTCATTCCTTATTAGTAAAAATTAAAAAAATAGATTTCAAAAATTTAAAATGAGAGGAATTTAAAAGTATTTTTTAAATTTAAACGAGTAATACATTAACAAATAAACAGAGTCAAAAGCAGAAAATGTGAATAATGCAAAAATCTAATGTTGCATTTAAAAGAAAACAGAGGTAGTATTTTATAAATGTACAATGTACATGTCTGGTTTGGTCCGGTCTGATCAGATATGGTCTAGATCTGAGAACAACCCAAGTAAAATTAAGGTTTGGGAAATTTCGTTATATGTTTTGAAAATAAAAGGTATATTGGTATACCGTTATACCGAAAGACCTATTCAAATATTTCTATAAAATTATAAAAATGGCTAATTACACAACATCATATTACAGATAAATAAATGTTTTTATATCCATGTTGTTTGAAAAATGTTAAATCTTTGTTAGAGATCACTATTAATTCAACTACATCTACATTGTTTAAGTTATTTTAGGTTGTATAAGTCTATAATAATTTGTTGTATTGAGAGACATGCATGATAATTTATCGATACCATACCGTTGGACATGGTATACCGAAATATGGTATATCGATATTTCGGTAAGGGAACGGTATATAACTTTAGTACAACAAAGGTATGATAGCAAATAAAATGGGAAATTATCCTAGATAGGACTAAAAACGTTTGTATATTCCAAAATATGACTGTCATGTTTTTATTCCCAAAATAGGACTAATTACTGTCATGTTTTGGCAGCACCATACATTAAACATGACAATTTTTTTCAAACTTGATACTTTGATAGTAATTACTCTTATTTTGGGAATAAAAACATGACAGTCTTATTTTGGAATTTTCAAACTTATTTACTCCTATTTCGGGAGTGTTCCTAATTTGGCAGTAATTGCTCCTATTTTGGGAATAAAAAGCATGTCAGTCCTATTTTGGAATTTTCAAACTGTTTTAGTCCTATTTCGGGAATTTTCCCTAGAAAATATTCGGTGTAATGTACCGAACTACCCCTAAGTAAAATCATGCTTAGTGGAACAGCGGTAATACTTCTTATCAATAATACTCCATAATACATTTGTCCCTCAAATTATAAATATCCAATTATAAAATCCCAATTGAGTTTTTGGTTGCTTGGGTTTGGGTTGGACCGGTAAAATCCCAAACGAAAGATCATCATCTTATCATTTTTATTTTAAAACCTATTCTCGAATCAAATTAATCAAAAATACAACCACACAAATTTTAACACAAGCATAACTCTCTCGAATCACTAACAATTCTTTTTTATTATTCTTTTTTTATTGTTTTTATCACCAACTATTCGGTTCCAAACGAAATTTATCTTAATATTAAGTTTCAGGTACATATAAGTAATACAGTTTTTCAAAATATTGCTCCGTACTAAATATATTTATGGATAAAATGTTATTACAATTATTAGAGTATTTCAAGGTCGGTACGGTATAGAATTGAACATAATTGTAGTCACTAAAAATTACTAAATCATTTTTCATCAATCATGATTATTTTAGTCATATATAAAAAATTAGTTTTAAATAATATTGTTATACCTAGTATAATATTAATTTTATATTAAGATTAATATTGATTTTCTTGTTTCTAATTTTCTGATAATCATCATGGTGACAATTTTTTCTACTAATGTTACTATTAGAGTGGCACTTTTGTTTATAAGTTATGGTAAAATTCCAAACTTGAATTACGCATAAAATACACCAATCTAAAATAAACAAATAAAATAAAAATAACAATAAACAAAACTTCAACAAAAACCGGAATTTATTTTAAAACGCAGGCAGTAAAATACAAACTTACTACCTCCGTCCTGGAAACAAGTTCCCAGGTTGACTTTCACACATTTTTAGGAATTAAATTTACTGAGAGATAAATTTTACTATTTCGACACTCTTTCGACACTGTTTGACATTGTTTTGATGTAGATAATTTGCCGAATAAGGAAATGTGAATTTTATTTTGGAAGATCCAAATAAGAAAAGTGATAACTTATTTCCGGGACAAAGGGAGTATTTTCCTTTTCTGACGAACTCCATTAATTAAATGATTAAATAGATAAATAGAAATTTTATTGTTCTTTTTTGTGTGGAGAAAATTCGTTATAATTGTTGTTGATAATCGATTATGGACCCTCTTCTGTCACCCATGTGTCCCGATGTTGTGTTATTACGGAAATGCCCTCAAATATTGGCCCAATTTACTTGTACCAAAAAAATGGTGCCGGAACATATTGGTGTGGCTGCGCGTGCTGCTCCGACACTAACTCCTTTGACTTACTTTTTCGGTTTTCGAAGTAAAAAAGGTTTATATTTAACGTTAGGCCATCGAATTCTAAGTTATCATGTACAAGTCAGCAAGTCTTTCAAACTTTCCTATAATCTCTATTTTGTGTTTATTACCTTTATTTCTGATTTTAGTCATTAAGTTGACTGAGAATACTATGAAAAATCAATTAGTTATTTTCATGTATTTTTTCTTTATTTTATTCATAAAAAATAATTTTAGATACAACTTTTTTATAATTCAGTAGATTCCTTTAATTCCGCTCTTTCAACCAGAATTTCATTATTTTCAATAGATTCAGGCATTCAGCACATTCAGTTAATATAGAATACATTCAGTTAATATAGAATTACAACATAAAATATAACATAATGTAAATATGTCTTTATTGTTTGGTTTCAAATGCAAATCCATCCTCAACATAACTTAGCTATAAATTGCAAACATGTCACGTACAAATAATTCAAACTAGAGGGGAATTCAGGATTATTTCACAATAGTCAAATTTATAGGTTTGGTTTATTTAATAATAGTCTGTTTTATTAATGGAATGGTCTCATCTGATTGGCCTAATTTGATTTTGATCAAGTATGATCTCTTTTAGAATCATAAAAGTCACAAAAGAAGATTGGTTTGTTTTTAAGTGCCTAAAATGTCAATACTTTAAAAATATACTCCTCTGTCTCACTTTATGTTTTACATAGTACTTTCTTTTGTATGTAGGTTTCATTTGTCTTACTTTCTTTGTGAATCATCCAAATATAAATGCCTTATTTTATTTTTTTGACAAAAAATACGTGATCCATATCATTTCACATTATTTCACTTTTTTAATAATTGTAATGAACTAAAACAAGACACATAAAACGGGATAATAGTGTTATCTTTTATTAAAACTTTTAACATATCTTTATATGTGTAATGCAATGTCTTTGAGATTAGTTTTGAAGGTATATTTTCTTATTTTTATAAATTTTCTTCTATGAAATAACTATTTTAGAAATATAACTTAAATTATATTTATGTTAACCATTTTCTTAAAACCAAAGTATTTTAAAAAGTTTCTTCATAAGTATATCATACGTAATATTAAATGTTTTAAAAACATTGAAGATTTAAGTGTGCAATATTTGACTATTTAAATTTATGCCAAATTTAAATTGACCAGTTATGACGTTTTAAAATTGTATTGAAATTTTATATTCTGTCTTGGTCTAGCTTGAGGTTTGTGTGAGTCTAATCTGATCTAAATTTGTTTAAGTCTGGTCTAACTTGAACTTGTACCATAAGAGTCTGTTTGGTCCGGGTGGACCCTGTTTTCAGTTTATGAGTTATCATCTTTTGTTAATCAATTTTTTACAAAACACGTAATTTTTATTTCATGTGTCCAATTACATAATAATCAAAATAAATAAAATTAAAGTTATTTTTCTATGTGAACTAGCTGAAGTTTAGAAGACCATTTTGTTATTGTTTCATACGTAGTATAAATTTTTGTTTATTTTTTAATAAAGTACATTTTAAATATAAATTTTTCATAAATTTAAGGAATTACTTCAATTAAAATTTTATAAATTTCATCAAAATCAATCAATTCAATCAATTTCAAAATTCATTTGATGTTACCACATTTATGTGTGAATGGTAAAGAAAAAGTGAAGTACCTTCTCAAGGTCTTAACAATGGAGGTAATCCTCTTGAGAAGATCAAAGCAAACTGCCGAAGCTTTTATTGCTTCCACATCAATAGCATCGCTTTCATCGTCTTCATCTTCTTCTTCCAATTCATGGTTTCGGATTTCCTTCTAGAAAGCCCCGAGCTACAGCCGTTGTTCTGGGCCCCACAGTAGCTTCATAACACGACAATGAGTTTGAGTACGAGAAGGAAGAAGATGAACATGATCGGTTGGGCTAAGGCCTCCGCCGGCCCAACCCACGA